ATCTATTTTTATTTATAATTTTTTTTTATTTTTATTAATTAAAATGTTTAAGATAAGCGATTCTAATTCTAACGTATTAATTTTATTCTCGCTCAAATTTATATAGTGCTTCAATCCAATTCTTTGAAGGCGTACTGTTCCTTCATTATTAGATTCGCTTGACATGTTATGCACTATTTAATTGTCGTTATGATCTGTTTTTTTTTTTCCACAAGCAAATGAAATAGCTTTTTAAAAAAATCGAACTCGAACTGACCTTTTAAGGTTACAGATGCAGAAGATTTTCATAAACTGTGGTCTGCTTGATAATCGATGGTGTTACGACTGGTGGGGAGCTTATAGGATCTTGGACCAATTTAGCTTCGATCGTGAACAAATAGTGGTTAAGGTTAAATGGTTTAATCGATAAACTAACACACATAATTACAGCCTAAGGTTTCTCGTTATTAACATAAATAATACTAAATACTATTAATAACCGTTAACAATCGTTCATAATTGTCCTCTCTCCTCATAATATGAAACTATACCTTTACGTATCTTTAATTCGTATGGAAGTTTTAATCACTCGATTGGAACTTTAATCAGTCGATTGGAGCTTTAATCAGTTATTTGGGGATTTAATCGGGATTTAATCAGTCGTTTGGGGATTTAATCAAGTCGTTTGGGGATTTAAATCAGTCGTTTGGGGATTTTTAATCAGTCAACCGTGCCACAAACTATACTAAAATAAGAAATTCATTATTGGTGCTAGGATAATGACACTAACTAAAAATAAAAATTTAAGCATAACATCATCCCTCCTTCGGAAAGATGAGCTCCGGCGAATCGCTCGACAAGCATTAGGACGTCTACGGGATACCTTGGTGGTACTCGCGGGATTTTTTATCTATTTATTTATTTTATTTTATTTTATTTTTTTTACCACAATCGCCTAAATTATTTTTTTTAAATGGACGTTCCACTAAACTACAAATTCTATCATTATCGGTACTTCGGGTTTCGATTATACAACCATTCATCACGTGCAACTTCATCGTAAGAGATCTTCACAATTCAACTCTAACCTTTCGTTTATTCATCTGCACCCTTTTAACCTTAATATTCATTATATTGTTGCTGAACGATGGGCTATTACCACTATCGTTACATTTCACCATTCTTATATTATCGCCGACTTCACCAGCATGTTTCTTTAAGTTTGGTGGATCGTTGATTCGTGCAACCTTATCCATCCAGGCGCAGCACATTTCTTGGAGGTCATTATTGCTCAGTCAACGTCCCTTCACTGGCTTCACACCTCTGATATTTTCGACTTTCAATATCCAAACTCTACATGCACCAACAACTTCCTGTTCATTTCATACGTCTCTTCAGCACTATTCTTTCGTTTCACTGGAAAACGGGTCTTAAATGATTTGACTTTTTTCTTCCACTCTATACTTGTGATTTCCGAAGATTCACCTATTCCATTCGATACGCTTTTGGTGTGAATTTCGACTTCGTCATCGCTTTCGTGGCGGGCGACTCATATGGGCTTCGGGTTCGTTCTTTTCGGCCCTTATTCTATTCTTAACACAGTATTCAGTGTTATCAGCCCCACCAAGGCATTCCATGCTCGAGCAGCAAATTGTTACCTTATTTTCACCCCGGGTAATGCCTATGCCGTTTTGGTAACAACATTCAAGACCACACGTTGCATCAGTATGATCCATATCCACAGGCTTTTGATAGCTAATGAATGTCTTAGGTTCACATTTTCTTACCGCAATTCCATTTTGGTAACTATAACTATGCTTATTTATTCCTATAGCATGGCCCATGTTTGCTGTTTTTTGATCAACAAAAAATGCTCGACATTCATCCTTTTCGACACAAGACTCAGCCCACTTTTCCCGGATCGAACACTACTACGTCATTGCCGTCATCATCACATTGTTCTTTTATAGCCATTTTACCAGCAGCACTCATCACTCTTCAACTGGCACAATTTATATTTGCCGAACTTTGACACTAAATGAGTGTTTTGCATTCACCTTTTTCAAATTTTATTCCATTTCGATAACAACAGCCAAGGTCACAGGCTTTATTAACACAGCACATTCTATTGGATTTATGACAATCGTCGGATACCTTTTGTTCATGATTATTTTCGAATGTTTGATGTAAAGCGTCGGTCATCAGTTGTAACAGTTGAATTTGTTGATGAAGACTATTTTCCAGACGTGTTGGGACATTACGTATTTCCATTGTCGCTATCAATATCTAGGTAGCATTCCATAATAGATTACGATTGAAATTCTTTTCAAACTTATTCTTAACTAATCAAATAATTTTCTTTTAAATTTCTGGATATCAAATCCACACAACTGGCACCAAATGTTACGACCGGTGGGAGAGCTTATAGGGTCTTGGACCAATTTACACGTAGCTTCGATCGTGAACAAATAGTGGTTAAGGTTAAATGGTTTAAATCGATAAACTAACACACATAATTACAGGTTAGGGTTTCTCTTTATTAACATAAATCAATACATTGGAATTTTACACTAATACTAACGCTAAATACTATTAATAACCCTCCTCATAATCTGAAACTGCTCCCTTTATATATCTTTAATTCGTATGGGGTTTTAATCACTCGATTGGAGCTTTAATCAGTCGTTTGGCTTTATTCAGTCGTTTGGGGATTTAATCAGTCGTTTGGGGATTTAATATCAGTCGTTTGGGGATTTAATCAGTAACCGTGCCACAAACTATACTAAAATAAGAAATTCAGATAGAAAAATATGACACTAACTAAAAATAAAAATTCGAGCATAACCCGATAACGATAACATCGGATATGGTTACTTCAGATCTTTGTGTACAATTCTAAATTACTGTCATTAAAATATTTTTGGTGGTGCCACAAGGCAATTACTAACCATTGCCACATAACGACGATAATACATGTAATGGTATGCAGTGTATAAAATCTCACCCCAAAATTCAAGTTGACGTAAGTCAACAGATCGCAAAGATAGCTAAACAGGGATATACCGGGAGCAATCCGGTCAAGCCTGAATGTAGCCATTAAACCTAATCGGGAATTCAATCAAGTAGCGTGAGAGAATCACGAAGCCAGATAATTAAAAGGAGTTAATGAACTTCCTAATTGAGAACCATGACGAAATCACTAACAATATTTCATTGTCAGAAGGAGATGCCGCCGTAAGCAAATTAGCAGCCATCTCCGCCTGAAGCATGATTCGCACCCGAACCCCCTCCCACACGAATCTACACCATTTCGTGGTAGCTTAAACTTCTCGTCAAAGTCGGCCTGCCTTGTGCAGGTGGGAAAACCACCGGCTGGTGCTACGCATCGCGAATTCAACCGATGACGGTGGTACCCGGCTGCAAATACAGTACAGTATGCTATTTTCTGGGGGCATATCTTGTCTCGGTTTATACATCAATTGTACTGATGTATGCTGCCTATTTTAGTAAAGATCATGCAATAAAGTTTAATATCTGGCACTTATAGTCAGATGCTCTCAAATAAAATTATCACATGCGTGCAATGCTTTTCGATATGTGAATAGTGTGCCAGTGCACTCTTAATTTGTGTGAATAATTTTAAATATTAGAGCACTATAAATTTTTATAATACTATAAAATATATATACACAAATTTAAAATATATTTAGGGATGGGGAAGTTTTTTTAAAAACCGGTTAAACTTGGTTTAAGGGGTTGGTTTTTTTTAAACCTGGTTTAGGGTTTAAAACCG